CGGAGAAATTTTCGACTGTTTCACATTCCATTCCAACAGATGGCGCTAATGTACGTGTACGTTGCTATCAACATCAACTAAAAAAAAAGAAGAAGAAATATTCCTTGGGGATGATGAGAGGTGGTTGAAAATAAGCCGAAGAGACTTCAACAGGTTTACAACATTTAGTCAGTGTTTGGCAGTATGGATCCAAAAGCAGATGTCTTGGTGAATTCAGATCTTCCGTACGGACATATTCTTTGCCATGAAAAATGGAGGACTTCGTCTCTTCTTCAGGCCCTAAAAGGTTAAAAGCTTTTTTTTTTTTTTTTTTTAACTTTTGTTACTTTCAGCGGCGAGCACTGAATGTCAGACATGACTGAGAGCCAGTACACAGTTTGAGAACAGAAATCTGTATTTGATTCTCCTTGACGTTTTATGACAGAACAATGAGAAAAGTGCAGGCTTAAAGGGCTATAGGACTAAACACATTCTCTCCAAAACAAGGATGGCTTATTAAGTTTGTGAACTTCTAGAGCAGGGGTGCCCAAAGTCGGTCCTCGAGGGCAGGTGTTGGGTCGATCCGCGTTTCCTCATCAGATGAGGTCTTGTGCGAATTTCTGTTCCCCTGTGAAAATTTGTTCCCCCTGTGTCGGGAGCGCGCATTGCAGCCAGAGAGGATCTGGCTATTTTTATGACGCTTCTGATCGATTTCTCGGTAAAAACTACTCATATAATCATGTCAATGTTGTGACTTTCAGTTTAATCGGCAGCTATTAAAATAAAAAATAAATAAATAAACAAGGTCTTCTGTGGAGATCTTTTTTACTCTGTTTTGTGTTATTTTAAACGCGAAGAGAATCGATTTTTTTTTTCAACTTTTCTCTTAAGCCTGACAAATAAAAGTCAGTCAACAAATACAGGTTTCCAATACGTAGTGTGCATTTATAATTTTTCATTTCTTAAAACAGGATGGAAGCTGGCTGATAGCAGAGCACAAAAATAAAGACTTCCTGAAAAGATCAGAGTGTAGACTTTTTGTTAAATCCCATTCTAATGTAAAATATGACAGATTACTGAATTAAGGAAATGTCTAGTATACTATCACACATAACTTTTGAGAATTTGGAAACAGTTGCTTTTTATTTCCCAAAGTTATGGGGGGAGAAGAGGAGAGAATGGATATTTCAGCTGCCAGAAATAATCTGTTCCCCCTCTAAAAAATGTAAACAAATTAATGTACCTGCACGTCTTTAACTGTGTTCATTCCTCTCATCATCAACAACAAATCCTGTATCAGAAATGAAAAATTATAAATGCACACTACGTGTTGGAAACTTGTGTGTGTTGACTGACTTTTATTTGTCAGGCTTAAGAGACAAAAGTTGGAAAAAGATTGATTCTCTTCGTGTTTAAAATAACACAAAACAGCGTAAAAAGACCTCCACACAAGACCTTGTTTATTTATTTATTTTTTTATTTTAATAGCTGCCGATTAAACTGAAAGTTACAACACTGACATGATTATATGAGTAGTTTTTTTTTTTTT